ATATATATATATATATCCCACTCTGGGGTTGAGGTGAATAAAAGAACTGTGTTGTGATCTAAATAACATGCTGTTGCTATCTGCAGAAAGTATTAAAGCATGAAATCCCGCATTTTTAATGTAAGAAAGCATCCTGTATCATAACTACATGTGTGCCGTTTGTAACAAACCAAACCGCGTGAAAATCAGTTGAAAATTCAGTGAGTTATTCTATTTTACTTGTGCATCCAGCTCCTTCCTCAATAGAAGTGAATGCACTGTGGAGGCGAAGCGAGACCCATCCAAGATGGCGGCCGGCGAGGACGTCGGCTCCAATAGGCAGCGGCAGTCAATGCAGCGTCTATGTACATATGTCTATGCGTTAAACAGCGTGGAGGCTTAATAAGGTGTCTTTCAAGATATCACATAGAATTTACAAGGTGAAGGTTGTGATTTAAAGATTCAAGCTGAATATGGGTTATCAGTGTGATTTCTGTCGACTGGAAAAAGTATTTTATTCATTTTTATTTTATTTTTCTCTGTATATACATCAGACTGTTTTGAATTGATGTATAAAAAAGAAACTTAAGATTAAGGTTGCCATAAATGTGTTTGATGTATTGCTATATTTGAGCATAGACTGTATTTGAGTCAAGATAAGACTGGAAATAACCTGTATACCCTACAATACTATTAATTTTGACAAATCCCATATTCATAAAAAATAAATAGTGATTTATGGTGATAAGTGGTGATTTTCAACAATATAGTATCAAATTATCTAATGTTAAGAACAAAAGCTATTAAGATCTTAAAGTTAATAAATGATTACATTATGCATATAACAAAAACCCATTATAAACTGTTGGGGGGAAAAGAAGTGTTGTGGAGTGACTAGTTACATGTAACCAGTTACAGTGATTAAATTACAAAATAATTTAACTGCAATCAGTTACAGTTACTGAGAAAAAAAAAATGTACTCAAAGTACAGTCACTTATCAAAATGTTAATAATGCTAATATGCACTCTGTTGCTTTGCATTTTTTCACTATGCAGGAATTCCCTCTTTTGGCACAGACTATTTCCTGATATTTTTCAGTTTTATTGACTAGTTTAAAACATTTGTTAGAAAAGGAATCGAATGTAATACGTTACATTACTTTGAAGAAGTGATTAAATTACAAATTAAACATGGTAATTAGTAATCTGTAACATTGCCTTTCAAAAGAACCTTTTTGAACCTTTTAATAAGATTCACACTGTTATTTGCATGAATGTAAATGAAGGTCACTCTCCCTTGTTATTTGCAGAAGCCACCAAACCTTTAAGGATGAGATTTGTGTTATTATTTGTGATATAACAAATAAGAGTGCAACACCAGACAAGCTTAACCAGTGTCTGAGAGACTGTACAGTGGTATCATATTTACCATATATTGCTAGACCGTGGGTGAGTAAATATTAACTGTGTAAAAAAGGACTGGGATAAAAATAGAGGACATCTGGATCAAAGGTCTGAAATACATTATCATTTGTTCCTTTAAGTCAGGCACTGTTTGATACAGTTTAAAACTTTACATAGGTTTTATTTTGTGGAGCCATTCCTGCTGTTTATAACCTCACTTTATTCAATCTCAGTTACACAAAATGTGAGGGATCTCACCCTAGATAAAAAAGGAAAAAGTGTGTGGTATGCACATTTTTCTGACCCACTTGCCAGCAAAGTATAATTTGGAGTATTGTAAACTTTAAATGAGATGAGAGTAGGTTCAACACAATATTTAGAGGGGCACTCAACTAATTTTACATATCAGTGTCAGTTTACTAGTCACAGGGAGAACAGCACAGTGTGAACAACTGTGTGTCTTCTGTGGCTCTGAAGGAGCTTTATTAAAAATGTCATGTGACATCACTTAAGTTAGGGGCAGAACACGACTCATACTAATATTAGGACGTACCTGATGATCCTGGAGGGTCTTCTGGATGTTCCACATTGTACTCCAAATGTTTAAGGTGCATCTTTTCCCCTTGTGCGTGAAAATCACCATATAGTTTCCTTTGCCTCCTCTATTCTTCACCAGGTTGTTCAAATCACAGATATTTTCAAGAACTTAATTCAAGTTATTATACAATTTCAAAATTGTCTTGTACGACTCTGCCTGCAGAAAGACAGTATGGTGCTGCATGTGATTTTATAAGATTTGAGCATCACTTAGTACAAACAGGCTTCAGGGATGTTAAAATCAACAGATCTCAACCCAGTTTCACACCAATGGAAGATTTTGGAGCAACGTCTAAGACAATGCTCTCAAACCATCCACAGAACTCCAGATTTATATTTCTACTTAATTTGTGACTGTGTTGCTAACTTCATTCACAGTTCTTTTCAAAATATTGTTGTCCATGGGGTAAATGAGTCTGTTAACTCTTGTTAGAAGAGACAAATGTATGGAGAGGTCACAAACACACAGCAGCAGACGTAACAAGCATCATGTTCTGTATTGTCATGTTAATACTAAATAACCATTACAGTTCACGTCATTCAGTCCCAACCACACACTCTCTGTTACACACTACACATCAGAACATCTTCCTCATAATCCAGACAAACTAACAGACATCATTCAACAGCAGTCAGAGAGGAACATTAGTATTACATTTCATACAAAGTTGGCTAGAGCTGTGCTTCAGCAGAACCTGCTCATCATGGGACTGTTTACTCTGAATGGCAGCTGAGTGAAGTTCGTTCGAGCGAAAAAAAAAAGGGGGTAAGGTGAGTTCAAGGACTTGGAGCTTTGAAGACATCGTGGCACGGCTTGTTGCATCATGGCTGGGTTTGTGTTTTTTGTTGTTTCAAAGGAAAAAAGTGGCGTGTGCTGCTCCCATTTCCCTTTGTGAGGCAATGACTTCCTATATCTGGCATTTGTTGTGCGGTAGGTCGAAAAGAGGCTGTTGTGACGAGGCACCTGTGCAACAGTCACAATGTGCACCTTTAGGTCCTTGTTTCAAACATGTCTTGTGTCGGTTCAGTACAATAAACACAGAGTCACAATAGACAAAGGTACCCTCACTGTATCCCAAATAACCCTCCCTCCCGCCCTCTGCAAGCACTGTCCATGACATGACATGAGAAATGAGATCTTTATCAACTTACTGTACACACCAAGGCACTAGCTAACGTTACAGTGAGCGTGTTTCGCTCATTAGGAGAACTTAGAAATGAAAAGTGCAGCTGGAACCTGAAATATCTCCTTGAATTAGCACAAATGTGTTTAAAAAAAAAAAAAAAAACAGGAGCAAGAAAACAAAATTGCAGGTCCGTCATTATGAGGCTACAGAGAACACAGCCTCCGTCCCAACTCATCAACAATATATTAAAATGGTAGAAAAGGTGCTTGGCAACATCATGTCCAGTTATTTTTACTGTCATAGAGGACAACAAGACTAAAGACACATTTACAGTTCTTGATTAGTTCCCACTGATGACAGCGACAGGGACAGCCTCCATTTTGTGTCACTCCTGTTCAGCTCTGTGGATCCACTGCACGTGTCGGAGTTATATTCCTCTACTGTGATTCTTGATTCCTCTTCTGTCTCTCTACAATCCATCATTGTCATCTGTGCCACTCCATATACG